GAATTGTTTCCATGAATTTTGGTTTTCTTATTCTTCTTTGCTCTGGATGAGGAGAGGATAGCATTTTTCAATGACAGTCCTTATACCAGATCAGAATTATTTTAATAAATCAATTGACTTTCTAGTGTGTAGATAAAGATCACTCCTGTGTAGAACCTCTCTTTGTAAACCTTTTTAAATCTCCAAGTAAGAGAATAAATGGAAGCCAGTTGAGTAATATCTTAACTTTTGACTGTGATTTTCTTTCCTCAGCCATTGAGGATTGAGAAACAGAGAACAAAGAATACCTGAGAAAAGAGAATGTAGAAAAAGAAAGACAATAGTATGATGAGGACTAAGAGTGAGTGTTCTGTGATTATAGTGTTCAGCCAATTATTTTCTTATGTGGCTGGTAAATGGTTTTTACATAGATTACAGAGAAAGTGTTCCTGAAAGTACTAGGTAGAATAGAAGGACCTAAAGATCTTACTTTAAAAAAATGAAACAAGAGTACTTCTTACAATTACCTTTATTTTATTTTAAAAAAATGCTTCATATATATAAACAAAACTTATAATACAAATTTGGAGGATTCAAGATGGTGGAATAGGCATATATACAATCCATATCCTCTAAAACAAAAACTTGAGAAACCTAGTGAAATGGATACCGATGTCAATCTTGGAACCCAGATCTTCAAAGGAAAGGATGAAGAAGTACAGCAAATACAAATTAGAAGAGACTGAGTGAAAACAGTGAACATAGAGGCATATGAGACAGTGACTGTTTACCATCATAGCATGGCCATTTTGAATTATTGCAAGCAGCATTCCAATCAGGGCAGAACCAGATAACTGATAACACTGTTCTGGAAATACTCTGGCACCAACATCGGCAATCAATGACCAGAGAAGTGTATCTCTCTCTTACCTTGCAAAACTTCCCAGTGACCAGAGGTGTGGCAATCCCACACTTGCTCCAGAGGCTAGTCAACCTCCCCTCCCCTACCAGACACCCTGCCCCCCTCCCCTCCTTGATCAGCCTAATCCCATCCTTCCCTATCAGCAGTGAACACTCCTGCAGAGTGAGTGCTGCTTTCCTGCCTCAGCTGTGTTTGGCAGCAAATGCTTGCACCGGTACTGTGCTGCTTTTTTCTTTCTTCTTAGTTCTTCCACATTATTTTTCTTTTCTTTCCCTTCCCTCCCCACCTGCAGAACGGGTGCTCAACCCCCAATGACTCCACAGTCAGCAGTGGCCCCCCCACCCCTTTGTGGATGGTGGTGTGTGTTTCTGCACACTGAGCTTCACATTTCCACTGCAGTGGCTTATGGGTGATTAGCACTTGTGCCAGTACTACTGCTTTTCTTTTATTTTTTTCTTTCTTCTTAAGGTTTCACTCTTCCTTCCTCTAGTTTTTCTTCTTTTCTCCCCACTCCCCATTCCTTTAGTTTGATCCTGTGCAGCAGGCATCCTGCCCTGCTCTGCCTCCATAGTCAGCAGTGCCTAATCCTACCCCTCTCTGCTGGGCTGTGTGTGTACTCTGCAGAGCAAGTGCTGAGTTCTCCACAGCAGTGTTTGGCAGCAAGCACTACCACCAGTAAGGTGCTGCTGTAATTATTATTATTTTTTTAATTTTTTTCTTTCTTCTTAGTTCTTCCTTCTTTTTCATCTTATTTTGCTCTTTTTCTCTTTCTTTCTTTCCTCTTCCTTCCCCTTGCAGTTTTTTTTTTTTTTTTTTTTTTATCATGTATGGCCAGTGTCCACCCTCTAATAATCCCATGGTCAGCAGCATCCACACCTGCCCCTCCATGGGTGGCAGTTCATGCTCCCATTGAGCAAACTTCACATTCCCCTACAGCGGTTTTAGTGGATAACACATGTACCAGTGCTGCACTATGTTCTTTTCCCCCTTCTACTCCTTTTTTCTCCTTTTTCTTGTTTTCTTTATTCTTGTGTCTTCCCTCGTCAACTCCTCCCTCCCTTATTTTTCTGTTCTTTTTTTTTTTTTTTTTTTTGTCCTTTCTCTTCCCCTTTTTCTTTCTTCTTCTCCTCCCCACCTAGCAGTCAGGAACCGTGACCCTACATAGCCATAACTGCCACACCTACCACCACACTATCTGGTGTGAATGTTACCACCACTCCATTATCACTGAATTGATGATGACAGATGGTGGCCAATACTCATCCTGCCTGACTTTAGCTGCTCTACAGAACCAGTGATCAGAGATTCATACCCATGATACCACCCACTAACAAATTAACACAAAAACAAGTAGTGACTACCCCAGTGCTGCCAAACAAATGACCAGAGTACAATGTCAACTCAGTTTTTTGGATATATTAAAATAAAACAATACAAAAACCATGTGAAGCAAATCACTATACAATAAAAAATAAATAAATAAAATAACACCATAATGACTTGGAGACTACAGACAACTTCAAATCACACACACACACACACACACACACACAAACAGAACAAAATGTCTCAAGTAAGTGACCAAAACACAAGAGCAGAAAATATTCTGGAGAAAGAAATGTTATTAGAACTACCTGATAAGGAATTCAAAAGAATTATACTCAGTTGCCTAAAACAGATTAAGAAAGAGATCAAGGAAGCCATAGACAAAAACAAAGACAGTACAGAAAAAACTCTAGAAGAATTCAAAAAAAGAATGCAATAAAAAAATGACAAAATAAATGGAAAATTAAAAACCATAACATAGCAAATAGAAATCCAGAAGATTAATACTAAGATTTCAGAAGTAGTTAACACATTGAAAGGGCAAAGGAGTAGAATTGAATAAATAGAAGACACAGTTAGCAAGATTGAAGACAAATCTCTTAATTCTAAGCTGTTAGAGGAACAATCAGAAAGAAAAGCACAAAGGAAGAAGAAGAAAGCCTAGGAATTATGTGGAACATTATGTAGAGGAATAACTTAAGTGTGATCCAGAACAGGCAGAAACAAACAAACAAACAAACAAACAAACGAAAACCAATGAGAAAATTGTCAAAGATTTGTTGGAAGAAAATTTCCTTAATATCATGAAAGATGAGAAGATACACATTCAAGAAGCTCAAAGAACCCTCGATAGGATAGATCACAAAAGAAAATCATGATGATATAACAAGGTATATATCCTAGAAAAATAAGAACCATGACATGAACAGACATATGCACACCCATGTTCACTGAAGCACTAAGCACAATAACAAAAGGATGGAAGCAACTTAAATGCCCATCAATGGATGGATGATTAAATGAACTACTGCACATATACAAAATGGAATACTACACAATATTCAAGAACAACATTGAACCTGCAAAACATGTCATAATATGGATGAACCTAGAGGACATTATGCTGACTGAATTAAAAGAAAAAACTCATGGACATTGAGTCAATTCTGGCTCATAGTAATACCCATTGGGGTTTCCAAGGCTGTAAATCTTTACAGAAGTAGATTACTATAAATCTTTATGAAAGTGGATTGCCCTATCTTCTTTCTGCAAAGTGGCTAGTAGGTTTGAACTACTGACCTTATCCACTAATCAACAGAGCTCCTGAAATTAGTCTGTCAATTAATCAATCACAAAAGGACAATATTGTATGAGACCATTACTGTAAAGTTAAGAAAAGAGCTTCAAAAGCAAAGAAATGTTATTTGATGGTTACCAGGTGTGAGATGGGAATTCAGGGTAAACTACTAACTAGAGGGTAGACTTATATTAATGTTGAGTGAATGGGAAGGCAATTACAAAAAAAGAAGGCAATGGGATGACATATATAAAACCCTGACAGAAAAAAAAATTTCCAACCAAAACTTTTCAATCCAGTAAAATTGTCCCTTAAATTTGATGGTGAAATTAAGATATTTCCAGTTAAACAAAAATTAAGGGAATTTGTACAAACCATACAAACCTTATAAGAAATCCTAAATGGAGACTTTGGACAGAGAACAGACAAAAATAGACAACAAGTGGAGATTAAGACACAAGATGACATCACTCGGAAAGCAAATTACATATTGTTGTTGTTATGTGGTGTCGAGTCAGACCCAACTCATAGCGACCCCTCCTTGGGTTTCCAAGGCGGTATCACTACTGAAGTAGATTACCCAGCTTTCCTTCTGAGGAGTGGCTGGTGTGTTTGCACTATGCTACCAGAGCTCCTAAATTACGTATAGAAGTATCAAAAAGA